ATTTGATCATAATGCTTAGGGTCTTTATTAGAATTCAAATTGGATACAAAAATAGGATATCTTTACACTACACTTACTCACTCACACATCACATTTAACTTGACAGAGGAATACGCTGGCAGAGTAAGTCGATTTGGTCATGAAATTTTGGAGGTCAGGTGGAATCCCTGCAGGAGCCTACGAAAATTTAAGGTTACATATATCAAAGTCTTTATTTGTCCAGTCATACACGGCATGACAATGCTGGTTGGAAAGTAGTGAAGATTTCAGTTTGGATTTCAGGCAAGAAATACTAACAGAACAATCAAAGATTTTAAGGTTAGGGGTTATTATATTCCATATTTTCGTTGACCTCGTGTTATGGTTGTCTGGGGGATCCGGTTTATTGATAATAAGCATTGGTTTCCTGGAAGAAAGAGAATACTCTTCGTACATAGACATAGGAGTAGAAAACTTCATGATCTTGAATAATTCTATGTAGCTATGGTAAGTATAAAGATTTTGTACAGTGAGTATCTCGTTGTTTTTAAACAGAGGTTTAGTGTGCTCCTTTTTATAAAATTTACTATCAAGTTTCTGGTCAGTAAATGGTCTGGTTCGAACACACGTTTTGAATTTATCCAGGTAGGCTGCTCTATCACCAAACAAGACCCTCAGACAGTACTTCTGTGCAGTGAATATTGAGCTTATACGATTTTTAGCTGCCCCACCCCATGCTGATATGCAGTACGACAGATGGGATTCAAAAAGAGTGTAGTATAACTGTCTGTGGAGAAATTCTGGGAGGGAGCAGCGTAGACGACACAGAGTTGAGGTGGCATGGTTAAGCTTTCGTTTTAGGGCTATTATATGTTCTTCCCATGTTAGATTTTCGTCAATGACGACTCCTAAAAATCTAGCTGACGTTACTCTTTTGATGGGGTAGTTGTCTATATTCATTATGAATTCTTCTTCAACGTTTGCTTCAGTACGTGACTTAGGTCTAAAGTGAATGTAGCAGCATTTTGACATGTTTATGTGAAGCTTGTTAGCCCGCATGTATGTTTGAAGGTTTGAAAGAAGGGCGTTGCTGCGTTCATATGCTTCTTGTGCAGTTTTACCAACAACAAATATGTTGGTGTCATCCGCAAAGGTGACAAACGATCCCAAGCTAGAGCTATTAGAGATATCATTTATGTAAAGTAGGAATAAAAGGGGTCCGAGAATTGACCCCTGGGGAACCCCAAATTTTATTGGAAGTAGGTCGGACTTTTCTCCTACAACATCAGTGTACTGGAATCGATTAGTTAGGTAGCTCTTGATCAGATCGTTTGCCACGCCACGGATGCCATACCTTTCTAGTTTGGTAAGTAATGTTGAGTGATCTATAGTATCGAAAGCTTTGCTGAGGTCGATGAATATGCCTAACACATGGTGCTTCAATTTGATGTGCTTAGATATGAGGTCAACAGAGTAGTTTACTGCATGGGAGGTTGAGTGCGATTGCCTGAAACCAAACTGAGTCTTAGATATTATTCCCTGAGAGCTGACAAACGAATAAATCCTAGAATATATGATTTTCTCAAATATTTTGCCAAATATGGACAAGGTGGATATAGGACGGTAGTTTTCTATTTCTTCTGGATTACCTTTTTTGAATACGGGTGTGATTCTGCCAGTCTTAAGTATATCAGGGAATATACCATTTGACATAAGTTTGTTTAAGTATCTGCTGATAATTGGTGCAATAACGTGGGACGAAGTTTTAATAACGGTTATGGGAATATCACTGGCCTTTCCATTCTCGAATTCTTTGATTATTCTTAGAACCTCCTCAGGAGTGCTGTCCTCTAACATAATAGATCGAGAGTTACTAGGGCTAAGGAAGTCATGGAATGTTTTCATGGGGAGAATTGGAATACCAGAAGACAAGTCAGTTGTGATAGTTTCATTGAGCTTGGGAGCAATTGATACGAACCAGGAATTAAAACCATTGGCAATTGCTCTCCGGTTCAAGATTCTTTCATTATTGATGATAAAAGGTGGTTTGGTTGTTTTCTTTCTTTTGCCCCTAAGCTCATTTATTATCTGCCAAGTTTTCTTACTGCTTTCAATGTTTTTATAGATTTCGTTACAGTAATAGGAGCGTTTGGCTGCCTTTATGATACCCTTAAGCATCCTACGATAGTCACTAAATATCTTATAAAGAAGGACATTGCCAGATGGATCTTTATTTGTTACTGTATCTGACCATTCTTTACAAAGCTCATGTCGATTGAGAGGATGATTCCATCTGTAATCCAAGGATTGAGCTTTGGTGTTCTTTTGGTCGTTTTCGGTACTTCTAATTTACAGTGCTTGTCAAGGGTGGATGTGAAAATCACTTTACTACACCTCAATATACTTATGGTAAAACACCCACACTTATAAACATATCGTCTCTGGAACGATACAGCAAACAAAATTACTTTTATACCTTCAGGGCCTTCTCACATGAATTTTCTTTAAATTTGGGCGAGCGATTTAGTGGGAGCGATGTCAAACTTGAAATACTAAATACGCTATAGTGTACATGTATACTATGTAGATAATGATTGATTGACCATGTCAACCTTTCGAAATCGTTTGAAGCGCGGCTTAGGCCGGGCATATGTGATATGCAGTAGTGCATGAAATAAGAAATCAAATCATATATAAAATATTTAAGTTTTAATATATTATTCAATTTGAAATGAAATAAAGAATTTAATGAAAATGTATGTTTTAATGCACTCAATTTATAAAACGAGACACTCAATTTATAAAACGATTCATTCAATTTATTGAAATGAGACATATTATTTTGCTCACCTTTAGCTTTGATTGACGATGTCAATCCTTTGCCCAGTGGTGCATCGCGCTACAATGCTTGCCTTAAAATCATCATTTTGCACTTGACTTGGATTTTTGCAGTTTTGCAGCTTCCATGTTTCATACTACATAACCCTTAGGTGTTGGGGCTGTTTCCACAATATTGTTTTAAAATTTGGGCCGGACAGGCGAGTTAGTGTGATCGAATGTAAACGGCGAAAGGTGTCCAGAAACAGCTTTATTTTATTAGCCCTTTAAGAAATCCAATTAGTGCCTACACTGGCAGATCAACAACAAACAAATGGTGTAAATTAACAGTGAACAGGTTCCTGGTGAAAGTTTGCCCTGAAGTTTTTGACACTTCCCATAGCCGGAAGCCCACGACGAAGTTTCAAGTCGTGTGGTTAAATTGTATGAGAGTTATTTACAAAATTCAATAAGTTGCGTTTCTATGGCATATCCTATGTTGCTGTTTGATAGAATAGGAATATGACTACTATAAGTTAGCTATCTGGTTGTTATTGTTTTCACAACCGAACAACGACTAATTGTCCTTCCAACATCGGCTTAAACGGTCTAGGCTAGACCCGTTGAATGTTTTGCACAGAAATCTTATATATTGTTAATTTTCTGTCGTGGATGCTTTTTATTCTAAAAACTTTAACTGGGTCCAATTACAGGATGTAAATTAGCTGACTATTCATTCTAGCAGCTTCAACATGGCAACTACTTCCCTGATGATTACAATGTGTTCCATTTTAGTGGTCAAAACAAATGCAAAGTTTGCTCCTATGAAAGATGTCATTAAAAATAAGTTTGATCCAAAGTACAATTTGTTTTGGGATACTGACGAAATAGCGCATCTCTCTGATGTTACCTTGAATCTTTTCTCTTGCTTTGTGGAGAAAAAAGGAGAGTGCGAATACTTCAAACAAGAATTCGATAAGAAATGCGTTGGCTGCGAAATCATTGGAAGTGTTGCATCATTCAAGTCACCAGGAGTTAAAGTTGTTATAACAGGGAATGGTGTTATCGAAATCGACACCTCAACCATCCCTAATCCTGTGACCAAAACCACCACACTTCATATCGTTAATGCCCCAAAGCTTGAACAGATTCAACCAGAATTATTTGAGAAGTTCCCCAATCTTAAGGAGATCGTTGTTGTCAGTACAGGGATAACATCTGCATTGAACGTCTCCACTCCTTTACATAAACTGACACAGATGGCAATTTTTAATAACAACGTCAACCGCGTCAGCGGCCTTTCTTTTGTTCACATGCCAAACCTAGAAAGACTGAACCTTGCATGCAATGATATTTCATTCATTGCAGATAATGCTTTCGAAGGTTTGGATAAACTTGTCAGGCTTACCCTTGGAAAAAATAGTCTAGGACACATCCCTCGAGCAGTCTTCTCGATCAGAAAAACGATTCAGTACATTGGACTGGAACGCAATGAAATAAAGCTTTTGCCTGCCTTGCCATTCAAAGAGATGAATGAACTGGTTCATTTAAACCTTACTGATAACAAAATTAATCAGATTGAACCTGAGTGGATGGGTGAATGTGAGACCTTGAGGTTTCTAGAGCTTGGGTACAACAACTTGACAGAGTTGGAACCTTTTTCAATCAGTAGTGGCAAGAAGCTTGCTTATGTTACTGTGTCAGAAAATCCTTATCTACATACCATACAAGGGAATGCTTTCAAGGATCTGGCGGTTTTAAAAGTTCTAGATATTTTGGGTAATAGCAAGCTTGAAAACATCGATTACAGAGCTTTCAACAACATTGCTACAGTGAAGTACATTGATATGTCCTCAAACTGTCTTAGGAGCTTTCCTCATGCTTCCTTCATTTATGCAAATTTTTCGAAAGTTGAAAAGCTTTGGATGAAGAATAACGTAATAACATCACTTTCGGAATTAACTGAAAATGCCTTGAATGATGTAACAAGCATTTTAGAGTTCCGATTTAAAGATGTTTACCCGTTATCTGTCAGCTTTAGCCAGATGGTAAAGCTTGACAGTCTTGATTTCAGTAGCAATTTACTTACAGTCATTCCAAATGGAGTATTGGATTGTTTAAAGACAACAGCTTCCTTTCTTGAACTCTCCAAAAATCGACTGCACACCATTGAAGATGAAGCATTTGTTGACATGAGGTTGCAAACATTGTACTTGAATGATAACTTTCTCTTGGAAGTTCCAAAGGCTCTTTTCAAGGTCAAATCTTTGAATATACTGCGAATGAACAAGAATTTGCTGACTTATCTCAAAAAAGGAACTCTACTAAATCTTGACATGACAAACAAGCTTTACCTTGAGAACAATAAGATACTAGCCATAGAGGATGATGCCCTTCCTAGAAGTCTTACTCTCATAGATTTATCCAACAATGAGTTTGATTTTGTCGATGAAAACCAGTTCAACAACATGCCTGACTTATATAACATTGATTTTCGAAATAACAGGATCAGCTACATACCATTAAATGCTTTTAAGAACAGTCCTAAATTGAAAGACATCTATCTCTCTGACAACAATATCAATTGGATTGATAATGGTGCATTTAGCACGGTATGTGATCAGATAGAAATTTTGAATATGGAAAGGAACTCACTTGCATTTGTGGAATTTGGAACCTTTGCATCTAAAAGTATGAAAGAAGTCCGCATGAAAGAAAATGACCTTCACGATTGGCCTCAAGATGGATCGTTTTCTTCCCAAACTGAGGAGTTCTATGCCGAATTTGTCAAAAACAAATTTGAAGTAATCCGGACAGGGATGTTTAAAGATCACAGCAAATTTCAGAAAGCAGACTTTGAAGAAAATCACATTTCAGATGTAGAGAAATATGCTTTTCAAAACTTAAACTTGTCCTACACTGGGAAAAGTAATGATATTTTTGGGGTTATGCTCATAAACAATCCAGTATCTAACTTAGAACCGTACAGTTTTACTGATATTACCTCAGAGACAAAGGGTAAAGGTTTGACAAACCATGCGGGGCTTCATCTTGAGAAGATAACTACCCTTTACACATTGCGATCTAACACCTTCAACAACGTCAAACTTGATTATATCTTACTTAATGACGGAAAGATAGAACTTATTGAGACCCACTCATTCAATGAAATCTACTTACACTGGACTCTTCAATTCAATAATGGACCTCTTAAGTATGTTGCAAAGAGAGCTGTTAATGCGGAATACATCCAATATATCCAATTCAACGAAAACAAAATCAGGAAACTACCCTTAGGAGCGTTTGAGGAGATTAAAAGCTGTGAGAACTTCAACATAGATAACAACGAAATAGACTTTATTGACACAGATTCGTTGCCGAATTGCCAAGGAAAATTCAACTTTAGAAACAACCTTATCACGCATGTAGTTACTGATGCGTTCCGAAAAGCCACTTCCATTAAAAATCTCCAGCTCAATGATAACTTAATAGTAAAGATCGAGGCAGGTGCTATGGACACGTTTGCGAGTAAATTGAAGGAATTGTGGCTGAACAAAAACCGTCTACCACAAATACCAGACAATCTTGTCAACACAGCTAATCTCGATGTTCTCAACGTGGCTGACAACAAAGCTTTTCATACTGTTGGGATCCAGAAACTTGCAGGAAGTGATAAGGGTACAGTTGTTGCGGACGATAGTCAAGGTGCTTTCATCGACGGAACCTTGTATGAGAACGTGAAAAAGAATGCTAAAGACGTGCTTGTTTATGGGGTCAGTGAGTGCACCTGCAATCTCATGCAGGTCATAACAAATATCAATGCCATACAAGGAACAACAATCAAATTCAAAGGACCCAAAAAATGTACGTACACCCATGTGGATAACGGAAACGAGCTGCAGTTGACACTGAGCGACACCTCTCCTAATAGCGTGAAGAAGAAGCTCCAGTGTGAAGTCTACTCTACCAGCCTGGTCAGGGTATCACGAACATTTGAAGACCAGCTTCCCACCCAGGAAACTCTTACAATGCACTGGAAATTCCCAGAAACAGCCGTTTGGAACAAAGCTGAGACAGTTTACTGTTGTGAAGATAGAGCATCTAGTGGGTGTATTAACCAGGCTACCGTTATAATGGAGTGTAAGCAGCAGGGGATCAATAGTAATACAGGGAACATATTCCTGACTACCAGTCCCTTCAACGTGGAACTGGCGAAGACTGATAGTTGTGACAAAGAGTTTAGTCACAGTGAGGATATAGACTTTTCAACGGCTGATTTCATATTCTGCGCGGTGAAGATAGAAATACCTGGTGCAGCTGGCAAGTATTCGTCTGTTGGAGCATGGAGGGTCGGATACCAAGAGGAACTGAAGAAGACAGAAAAAATACCTCAACCCAAACAGACCACCACATTTCAGGCCACATACTTCGATCTGACAAACGATTTTGAAGACTTCCAAAATATGGGATATGACAAGATATACCGGAACCCCAAAATGTTTGATTCCCCCAGTATTGGCCCATATCTTTACATGACCGATAAATTTAGCGCTGCTGACACCATCACCCAGTGGTTCACTCCAAATTCAAACATCAAAGACATCCTCCAGGAGGAATTTCACCTTCAAAGCTGCCCAGGGTTTGGAGCTAACTCTGACTGCATGTTCGCGCGGCAGTGGTGGCCAGTAGATGAGTTAGTAAACCCACCCACTGACACTACCGCTAACTTCAAGCGGCACAACATGTATTTCACCGCCCGACTGAGACTAGCCGTGTTGCTGACAGGTGACGAGGTGTTGAGTATAGGAGGTCCTGATGATGTATGGGTGTTCATGAACGGTACACTTGTTTTGGAGGTGTTGGCTGAAGAGGAGGACAAGTCCGATCTTCCTTGCGGAGAGATCTCTTTTAAGCGTGGTGCAAACAAGTTTGTAGCAAAATACGGGTTTATTGACAAGGTCAGGGATGAGACCCAGGTGGGACGCTGTAATTTGGGTGTCGAAGAGACTGATGTTGAGGCGGGAATGTTCACTCTTTCTGATGAGATGTATGTTGACATCTTCACAACTCAGAGACGCTCCCTTTCATCCCAGCTATTCTTGAGACTCTCCCAATTTCAAGTTATTGAGTCAAGTAACTACGCTGCATTTACTATGTCAGAAAGGAAAATACGATCAGGAAAGATTGACACTCTCGACTTCACAACCGTCCTCGGACTGCAAACATACGAAGTCGACATAGTCAGCACAGGGTCTGATAACGATAACTTTGAGGTACACGACAGTGAGTTTGTTTGGAAACAAGACCCGGACCCTCACCCTGCTAACCAGGACCCTGGATCTGGTGTCCCTGAGTTCTACAATTGTAGTGAGGCAGTGGTCACTGTCCCTGTTGTCACTCCTGCACATTCCTCAACCATTGAGACTCCCACAGCTCTTGTTATACTGAAGAATGCTATAGACTACGAGAGTATTGAAGAGAAGTTTGTACACCTGTACTTGGAGGTGCACTATGAGTTTGAAGGGGAGGACACACGTGACTTTGTAACTCCAATCAGGATCAGGATAAATGTGGAAGATGCAAATGACAACTGCCCTGATTTTAAAGACGATGCAGAGACTCTTATTGATAGAACTGAGTTGTGTTTAGATCTGCGGGGCACACTGTTAAATGTGACTGATGCTGACAATGGTCCTAATAAAGCTGTCCAGTACTACATTGGTATGTGTCTTCTCTTGATAATTTGTTAAGATTTTCATTAACTTTAGTAACAACTTAGCTGAACCACAGTTTGATATATATGACTTTTGCCTTTTGTTAAAACATCAATTTTACATTAACTTATTAAATCAAGATTAAGTTCCTCCAACAAACAATAGGTTAAAACACCAGAAAGTTGATTCGTTCTATTTAACAGGAGGGTACGAAGTACTGAACCTGAACGAGATGGAATATGAGAAGTACCGAACTGTTGACGACTACTTCACTTACGAGAAATTCATGGTAAGTTCACCCTTCAGCTTCACTGTCTTGACTGAACCACTGGAGGTTACATAGCACTTTAGTAGTCACTATAATAGTAGTCACTATAGTAGTCACTTATTACCAAAGGTCAATGCAAGCCATTATCATTATGTTTCCGATGAATATTTCTGTAATTCCGTATAACTTGCGACAAAGGAAAAATGCTTTTCTCGGGTATAGGAATTATCATTCATTATCATAGTCACCAACACAGTTTTTTTTAACACCAACTCCTTCTACAGGTGGAGTACGTGATAACGGTGTATGCAGTGGATAAAGGAGAACCGGTCAGACTGGGAACTAAACATTACTACCTCTTCACTATCAGCGCTTCTTGTATTCAAGACATGCAGTTCATTGCAGGACTTGATACTGGACTCTTTAACGTAAGTTAAGAGGGGGACCGCGCCGGAGGGGGGGGGGGGGGGGGGGGGGGGGGGGCGGGGGGTGGCCTCATGAAATTTGTTATTTGTCCTAATCCTCAATCAGGGTACAGTGGGAGATATCTCGAAAATAATTATCCTGTTACAAATACTTCAACGGATACTATTTGACTATTTGAGTATTTGAATTCTTACAAACATTTCCCAAATATTGTGTCCAAATACAACTTATTTCCCAATTACATATTTACAATTTAGCTGATATTTTTGTTTCAGGTGAAAGCTCCTGGTTGGATGGTATCCTCCTCGTTCCTAGGGTATTGTGACACGTGCACACTAGGGTACCGTTGTCCTGGATACGGATCTAGGGTCCAGTGTACCACGTGCAGGTACGTAATTGGAGTGGCATGTGAGTGGTATGTGAGTGGTATGTGAGTGGTATGTGAGTGGTATGTGAGTGGTATGTGAGTGGTATGTGAGTGGTATGTGAGTGGTATGTGAGTGGTATGTGAGTGGTATGTGAGTGGTATGTGAGTGGAGCAGCATATGTTGATGTTTCATGCAGCATGTGTATATTTTTATTGGCTTTCAGAGCTACAGCAAATCAATAGAGACTTCAACTTTCCAGATATAATAAAACTAGATAACCCTATCAGAATTACAATAACATCACATTTAAAAATAATAATATCTCTTCAGTCAAAATTACCCCAACGAAGATCTAGATAAGAAGATGTTTGAAGATTTGGGTCTTCCCCGAGAGGAGGAGGATTGTGAGAACAAGAGCAAGTTCGAGATATCATTCGGGGGACAGGTAATGTCTTGATTGAACCAGCACTATTTTACTTGTTATAGTAAAGAACTCACCCCTCCCCTTCACCTACCTTATCAGATTCAACGTCTTATAAGATTTAACGGGGCCGTAATTAATTACCGAAACAGCCGGCTAATAGCCGAATAATAGCCGGTCAGTATTGTACCAATTTGCCGATTTAACAGTATCTTACTTACAAACCCCTGAACCGCCTCCCCTCTTCAGTCGACCTGCTCGCCTTGTAAGCCAGGTTGGGAATGTAAGGAGGGAGTTGGGACACCAGTAGAGCAGCTGGAGAGAGAAGAGGGGGAGGAGGTAGGGACCCACTACATCAACTTGTGTACTGAGGGAGATGGTGAGGATTGTAGTCAGGAGATGAAACTGTGAGTAGTAGTGTCACAACTTAAATATTGTTCTTAATTATTATTGTTCTGTTATGTTTAAAGAAATTTAATGTAAATTCGAATTAAATATTTGAATATACCGTAGACTGCGTAGAGTGACGTGAAATTACAATTTTATTTCAATGAAAATGATTAATTCATTATGTAATGCTAACTCATTACCAAAAGTCCGTTAGTTTGAGACTTATGCCAAAACTTCCATAACTATCTTTTTGAAATCACGATTCACGTGTCTAGATTTCCAATATAAGTCACAACAAGCTAACTAAAATCACGTGACTCTCCCCAGATGTGAGCCAGGGTACCTCTGTAGGGCGGGTGTTACTGACAAGTGTCCGTCAGGACAGTTTAGCAACGCTGGGTCTAGTCGCTGCTCCTTTTGTCCTCCTGGAGAGTTTGCGCTAGATAGAGGTTAGTGTGCTGAGCTTAGAGTTTGCGCTAGATAGAGGTTAGTGTGCTGAGCTTAGAGTTTGCGCTAGATAGAGGTTAGTGTGCTGAGCTTAGAGTTTGCGCTAGATAGAGGTTAGTGTGCTGAGCTTAGAGTTTGCGCTAGATAGAGGTTAGTGTGCTGAGCTTAGAGTTTGCGCTAGATAGAGGTTAGTGTGCTGAGCTTAGAGTTTGCGCTAGATAGAGGTTAGTGTGCTGAGCTTAGAGTTTGCGCTAGATAGAGGTTAGTGTGCTGAGCTTAGAGTTTGCGCTAGATAGAGGTTAGTGTGCTGAGCTTAGAGTTTGCGCTAGATAGAGGTTAGTGTGCTGAGCTTAGAGTTTGCGCTAGATAGAGGTTAGTGTGCTGAGCTTAGAGTTTGCGCTAGATAGAGGTTAGTGTGCTGAGCTTAGAGTTTGCGCTAGATAGAGGTTAGTGTGCTGAGCTTAGAGTTTGCGCTAGATAGAGGTTATTGTTTTGTTAGAGTTTCATTCTTTGTGAGGCTTATAGCTGTGTTTTTGCTTTTTCCAAATCCGGAGCGCCAACATGATATAAATACACATTATTACACAATCTTAGTTTCTTTGAATACTTGGGCAGCTCCAGGTTTCTTGTATTAGTATTTTGGAACATCTATAAAATCTTAATGAATTTATTTAGATATATCTAAATTCATACTATCATAATCAGCATGATATTGTAGGTTCAGCGAACTGTTCTTGTTGTGAAGGAGGAATGGAATCTACTCACGCTAAGGAATCGTGTGACTACTGCCCTGAGAATGAGGTATTTCTATCACGTGACCTGTCGCCGTGTTACATTGGCTTGTTACTCAATTTATTGTACTTGTTGTTGTTAAATTAATTAATCAAATTTTTTAGAGAAATCTTATCAGTTGTTAGATTAATCTAATTATCTAACTAATTAATTAATTAACTAATTATCGTATTATCAGGTGTCAGGAGGGTGTGAGATGTGTAGGAGTTGTAGCGATGATGTGGAGTGTCCATGTCTTGCGGAGGAAAGACCTTGTTCGCCTGGTTAGTTAACAGTGTTGCTATACTAACCAACCAACTAATGTGCTACCATGGTAACTAACTAACTAACGTGTTGCCATGATAACTAACTAACTAACGTGTTACCATGGTAACTAACTAACGTGTTACCATGGTAACTAACTAACGTGTTACCATGGTAACTAACTAATATGTTACCATGGTAACTAACTAACTAAGGTGTTGCCATGGTTACTAACTAACTAAGGTGTTGCCATGGTAACTAAATATTGTGTTGGCAACACGTTAGTTAGTTAGTTACCATCACATTAGTTAGTTACCATGGTAACTAACTAACGTGTTTTTAACGGCCAGGTAGCGCAGTTGGTTAGAACGCCTGTCTTACAATCGTTAGGTTGCGAGTTCGAAACCCACTGACTGCCTGGTCGTGGGGTGAGCGTCGTCGACGTTCAGCTAAGGATCATGAGTGGTCTATGCAGCCCCCCGGTCTACTCAGCCGAATACTCGAGAAATCGGGTGTGAGGGTTAAATGAGGAGCTGCACATTGCAGCAAAGTCTCGGACGAAGAAAGTATGGTACACACTACCTTAACCGTCACTGGCCAAAAAGATCCTTCGGCTTCCTGTAATTGGCTGGTTGCACTTGTGTAACATTGTGGCTGTTGGAATACACCGAAGTAAAATAAGTGTCTAGATAAAAAAAAAAAAAAACGTGTTACCATGGTAACTAACTAACGTGTTACCATGGTAACTAACTAACGTGTTACCATGGTAACTAACTAATATGTTACCATGGTAACTAACTAACTAACGTGTTACCATGGTAACTAACTAATATGTTGCCATGGTAACTAACTAACGTGTTACCATGGTAACTAACTACTTAACTAACGTGTTACCATGGTAACTAACTAACGTGTTACCATGGTAACTAACTAATGTGTTGCCAAGGTAACTAACTAATATGTTGCCATGGTAACTAACTAACGTGTTACCATGGTAACTAACTAACTAACGTGTTGCCATGGTAACCTTACAATACCACTCCTACAGGTGTCCAGTGTGTAAACCTGCCTGATAACAAGTACAAATGTCTCTCTTGTCCAGCTGGATTTGAGGACAGTGAGGGGGGCTGTGTGGATATAGACGAGTGTGAGAGGTTCTCACCCTGTTTTGCGGAACTCAATGTTACTTGTACTAATACTGTGAGTATCAGGCTAACACGTGACGTCATCACTCATCTTGCTATCACGTGACGTTATCATTAACTTTTTTAAGGTTTTGAGACTTTGGGAAAATTGATTTTTTGCTATGGTAACCATCTTATCGGTTCTATATTAACTACTGTGTTGCTATAGTAACCACTATATTGCTATTGTAACCACTCTGTTGCCATGGTAACTAGTGCAAGTGTGTTACGATGGTCACTTCAACTACTTTGCTGCTATGATAACTATCCAAGGTTCCAGGTTTCAAGTGTGACTCCTGTCCTACTGGCTACACTGGCAATGCTCCCCAAGGCATAGGGGAACCAGATGATAAACAACATTGTACTGGTTAGTTAGTGTTAAATTTTACACAGCAGATACAGTGTTATCTTAGAATGCGAAAAATGCCTTTAGATTTACAGGGAGATATTTTGTGAATTACGCTGGTGATGATTGTAAAAACCTTAAAAATTAACAAATGTGTTCAGTGTTTTCTATCTTATGTATGGGTAATAGGTTCTTTGAATCTTCGATTTATCCTTGTCAAATGATTTGTTATTACAAATCATTGTGAAATATATTGAAACTGATAATATGAAGAAAGCTGTGTATCTGACACGTGACACTACTGTTCAGATATTGACGAATGTGCCACTGATAACGGTAACTGTGATATTAACTCGGAGTGTATCAACCAGCCTGGTTACCACTAGTAAGTCACGACTTACCTGTAGCTGCTGTTAGTTACCTGTAGCTGCTGTTAGTTACCTGTAGCTGCTGTTAGTTACCTGTAGCTGCTGTTAGTTACCTGTAGCTGCTGTTAGTTACCTGTAGCTGCTGTTAGTTACCTGTAGCTGCTGTTAGTTACCTGTAGCTGCTGTTAGTTACCTGTAGCTGCTGTTAGTTACCTGTAGCTGCTGTTAGTTTACATTTATTTGTCTGTAAAGATAATCTAAACCACGGTAATATTAATAATACAAGTTTCAATTTATTCCTCTGGGTAATCTTTACTAACCAAATGTTGGAGGCGCTGAATTTTTCCAAATTTAATGATAAACTTACCGAAATTTCAGTAATTTTATCATCAGCTGGTTAGCGAGTTCTACAAAGGTGGGAACAAAATTCGTAGTCCAATAGTATAGTTCTACATTGTACAAATCACTCATATTCCCACCCATTCCCACAACCGTTAAATTAAAGTAAGAAGTCAAGACTGGCTGAGATACCCTACTGGATAGTCTCAACTATTAGTCTGGATAGTCTCAACTATTAGTCTGGATAGTCTCAACTATTAGTCTGGATAGTCTCAACTATTAGTCTGGATAGTCTCAACTATTAGTCTGGATAGTCTCAACTATTAGTCTGCTGAGTTAACATCCTTAACCGATATATATGACATATTATATGAGAGGGGGATTTGGTATTAGAATACCAGACTGGTATTTAGAAAAATATGTGGTATTTAAATACTTAACTCTTTGTGGTGAATATGACGTCACCATGATACCACGTGACGTCACTAATCCTTTTCAGCTGCGGATACTGTTTTGGTCAGTACGTTGGTAACGGTACTATCCCTTGTAAGTCAGGTGACTACTGTGAATCAGGACAGAACACGTGCGACACTAATGCTAAGTGTACTGTCACAGGTTAGTGTACAAACACCACGTGACGTCACCAAAACACCACGTGACCTATGTGCCTCTATTTACTGCCCGGACTTTCGATTTGTTGGGCCTATTTCCATTCGCCTTAGCCCTTATTACTGCGAAGTCCTCAAACATCACGTGACGTCACCAAACATCACGTGACGTCACCAAATACCATGTGACGTCATCAAACACGTGACTGTATGACTATTCCTCAGGTCCGGCTGGGTTTGTTTGCGAGTGCAACATACTATACGCTGGTAACGGTACCGCATGCGGTATTGACACAGACGGGGATGGTTACCCGGATAACAGTCAGAACTGTCAGGGACCTACTTGTATTGCAGACAATTGTGCTTATTATCCTAACACTGATCAGGTACTTCCTCAAACACAAGGAAATGTTAAAGTGTAAACTCTAAAAATTACCATTTAATTCCTTCTAACACAAGGAAATGTCTTAGTAGTTGGTTACGTTGAGGGGTAGCAAGTACTTTTCTAACGGAGGGGGATGAGGTAGCGATTTAAATTCATGCAATAGGAATGGAATTGTTATCTTTAAGTATAACTAGCTTAAAGCTTCTACTACATGTACTGCATGATTAATCAGTTGCGCTTCATGCGTTTCCAGAAGCATCTCAATCTTTGGATTTTTCCATTATTTTCCAAACGAAAATAATGCTGACCTGCTGTCTTTTTCTGCTCAACCGAAAAAAGGAAAGTTTGGCAGATCCACAAAACGTGACTCTTACAATAATACGTTGGAATAATTTTTCTTGGCTGACCAATCTTAGGTTGAAATGATCTGAGTTGATCAATGTTGATCTTACTTCGCCAAGTCAATCCAAGAGGTAATTATCCTCACCTGGCTACAAGCCTCAGTGTTCTGAATTCTTCTATACTTTATTAGTGACGCATAAATTACGTTTTCTTGTAACTAAACCCCGATTTTCAGCTCAACATTTCTGTTACCATGGCTACCATACTAATGATTATTGCCTAACCTTATCAAGACATATCACATTTTCAAGTCAGATGTTGTGGCCATGTCTTGGGGCTTCAAGACTTGTGAAGTGGTTAAAATGAATCGAACAGTTGTGGGGTATTACACACATGAAAAGATGACAGAAAGTTATGATCTACGAAATCATGCGACAGGGACGTGTAACGACAAATTCAGATAGATTGAAATTGACTTCAGATTCTAGAGAACTGTTGAAACTATTGAGATGATTTCTAGATTCGTCTTTTGGGATCTTTTGAATTGAAATTGGTACCGGGAAATTATAATATTGACCTGATCAAGCGTTAAGAAATGAGAATTGAAATAATTGAGGTGCACGTAAAATGGCTCAAATATTATCCTAAAAGGCCGACTTCAATTAGTTCCTTATTTTTTCTCATGCATAAATGATTAGAAAAGTCTGATCTCCAAGTCGATATCCTCTAAAAACACTGATAATATAGGGCACTAACATCTGTCATATCTATATTATATACAATTTTAGGAGGATAAATTTAGAGAGGTAATCGTAATCGAATGCGTTATAATAATGCCTACATGATATAATAATTAATAACACAGAAATTACAGTTATCATTGTTTTATTTAGCGGGACTAGTAATATCATAACACCAGTTAGAGGACATGTTCTATCTCGTTAGCACCTCAAACCACGTGACAGGACCATGGCAACACGTGACAGGATCTTGACAATCCACGAGGCACTCTAAACTGATAACCCGATCAATTTCTCTGATCCTCATTTCATTAATCAATTCCCATTGTTTGTAATGTCATAACAATTGAGCATGTAAGAACTGAGCGATCCTCTTAAAGTTTTCCTGAAGGTTTACAGAGGATTGTGATGTGTATTTCATGCTGTGTTTCTACAGTGAGTGGGTTATAAGGTTACCAGCCTAGCACCACTTTATCATGTAGAGGAAATATCTGGGTCCAGGTTTGGGTGGTTTTTTGGATTTTTTCAACAAATTTAGAAGATAAAATGAGAAGTTTAAGAGGATGATGGGTTGAAATAGAATACTAAAATATTAAATTGAGCGAACATAATCAATAATTATGCTGATTAACGAGATTTTAAAAGATTTCTAAAAAAATGAAGCAGACGAATGTACATGTGAAATCAATAAATAAAACACGTGACATGAGTCATAACATGTGACATGAGTCATCACCATGACAACCCCCAGGAAGATCTAGACAATGACGGTCTGGGAGACGAGTGTGACAGTGATATAGATGAGGATCTGAGTATAAACGAGAAGGACTGGTGCCCGTACGATCCTGACATAGCATCTGATAAGGGAAACAAAGCAGATACGGATAATGATGGCTGGTTAAACGACTGTGATAACTGTCCTAGTGAGTTTTACAATCCGTGTAGTATAGTGCATTTTTAGTTGGAAAGTGAAATAACCGTTAGAATAACAAATCAGTGGTTGAGATCACAAAAAACTACACCTTTTCGGCTCCTGTAATTGTTGCAATTAACCACCTACTTCAAATCTTCCTCCCTGTCCACTAATATTATATAAAGCTAAATCCCTATTATCTATATAATTATTTCCTCATTTATGTTATCTCTCATCCAGCTAAGAAGAACGTGGATCAGTATGACAAGAATTCAAACGATGTGGGTGATAAGTGTGACACGTGTGATAACGGGAGCTCTGATCCTGACTGCTTTGTTGATGTGTTGCCTGCTTGTACAGGTACATTACATGTGTTGCCTGCTTGTACAGGTACATTACATGTGTTGCCTGCTTGTACAGGTACATTACATCCATTATAGGGTGGTTAGAAATATGCTAATAATTATGGTAGGAGAACCCTACTGTGGTAACATCCATAGCTCTACACTCTACAGTCACTGGTTCTCATTACCATGATAAAGTGATAATAAAACCCTTGTTTTTGTGGTAACAAAGCCCTACAAATAGTATTATATAATATGGTTGTATTCTATGGTAACTGTAGAAATTGTTGAAAATACGCTAGATACCTCTATAGCTTAATATGTTCTATTTTCGATTTAAATAAGTTTAAATATGTTAGCGACAAGAGAAACGCTATTTAATATCGGCTGATAATGGTACAATATATACAGGGTGGGCCAAAAGTCAGTGTGCAAACGTTGGGTCTTATACCTCCGCTGAGTTTTATATTTGAGAGCTGTTGCTTTGCAGATGGCATACTGTACTTACTGGTTCGAGGATTCCGTCGTCAAAATTTGAAAATTCGAATATTTTAGACCACGCCCATTCAATATTAAAACACCTATATTGTTTTCTCTGAAAATCCTGAACGCCTAATTTTTTTAGAGACGGTAGATTATCAAATGTTGCATATGATCTGAAAAAATGAGGCAAAACGGATTAGAAATGACGAAGTTAACAAGCATTTTGTGTATCTCGTTAACAAATTGACTGGGTGATTATGTGACACCGTGACACGACACCTTAATTGGGCACCCTTAACAATTCCCATAATGTTTAACGGGGTAGTTAACGGGGTCACCTTATCACGTGATTAGGTAAACCAATCACCTAATCACACGTAATGAACAAGCTTGTTATGCTTCATATCTCGGTCATCTGAGAAGCTAGAACTCTCATTCTTTCAGGGCAAACGTAATTCGAATGGCCAAACACAATTCAATAACATTTAGCTTGATCCGATTATCCAAACTATCAAAAAAATGTGAAAATGAACCTCCATTTGAAAAAAATGAACGCGAATATTTTTCGAGTTGACAAATTCCTCGAACCAGTGGTGGTACTAAGTCATACCAGAAGGAAGTATTTCAATTGGGCACTCAGTGACTGAGCTATTAAGGCCAACGTTTGCACACTGACTTTTGGCCCACCCTGTATATTATAGCACTCTGAGAGCCATGACTTTGTGCGGGGTTCTATAATGATATGACTTGTTCACTGTTCTGCTAAACGTTATTTCTTTATTACTTCCGTTTAATTTGGCAAGTATTATCCCTGGACAAAGGTATCCTGGATATTGTTCGTGCCCAAATTCAGCTCCATCTGTACTCTGTACTCTGTAGTCTGTATGGCTTTTGTCCACTTTCCACTCAGCCGAGATATGATGGTTTGTTGCATAATATCATCATATGATTATATTAACATTCCTTTTGTCAACAGATCGGGTACAGGTACTGGTCAAGGATATTTTGGGCACTTTCAAAAACATCTGTCACAAAAAAAAGTTAAAATTTGTCAAAAATCAGTTTTTTTGGCATAATTTGGTGCATAATTTTTGGAACGGGATGATAAAAACAGCAGTATTTTTGGTGACATTTATATGGACTGTATTTAGCGACAAGAGAAACGCTATTTAATATCGGGGGATAATGGTACAATTATAGATATAATATAATAGCATTCTGAGAGTGGCGGCATGAATCTGTACGAGGTCTGATTCTATAAAGACAGCATGGTTTGTTGCATAATTTTGTTGCATAATTCTGCCAGATTTATTAATAGATCATATTTGAGTATTTGTCATATTATAAAACAGCAGTATTTTTGGTGCAATTTATATGGACTGTATTTTCCCCCGATCCATGGCTTTTTTAGTTGCACTTTCCATTCCATTCATTCCGTGAAATAATATTTGACAAAAGTCGAGTAGCTCAAGATTCTACTGTACAATTTTCTTCAAACTTCCCAGATAGTAATATGGGTATACGACTTATGATATGTGCGAGTTTGGGTGAATTTCTATATACAAAATTTGATAGATATTCTGTTGAAACACAAGAAAATATTTCTAAATTGGTTTTTACTTATACGTTACAGAAGGAATTAATTTAATGTAGTTTGAAGAGTTCTCACTGTCGTCTGTCCTCACGTCCATCAATGGCGTTTCTCTTGTCGCTAATATACCTCCAATCTCCATAGTCCATAATATTATATTGTAATAACTCGTAGTAAGTTATTTTGCGCATTTTTGAAGATTTCTTCAACAGCTTCTCCTTTTCTAAACTACGTCCGTAAAATCTGGCCACTTAATTTCGAATTATATTGCTTTTAACTGAAATTCCGAGGCTGTTAAAAACCGTCTGTATAACCGATAAGCAGTATAGATTACAACAATAATACCTTTTAAGGTGAACCTTAAAGTTTAAGTATTACATTTACACGTTCTTTTAAAATATAATCTAACTTCAAAGTTATTAGTCAGGACCGTTTAAAGTTATTAATTCTACAATATAATCTAACTTCAAAGTTATTAGTCAGGACCGTTTAAAGTTATTAATCAGACCCGTTTAATGTTTTGGTTCAGCGTTGTGTTATAAAACAAGCGGAGATTGTGGTGATACTGCTTACTTGGGTTGCTTAATAATAGTTCGGGTTAACATTACTTAATATTGAGGACAAATTACAGGTAAACCTCAATATTTGGCGCGCGATATCTCAAAAACAAAAGGTCAGATTTCGGTCCGGTTTTTTTCGTCTCCATCAGCTCTCATTTTTACCTTCCCCTCGCTCTGGCCTTAATATACGTTTTTGTGTCGAGATATTCCTTTAGACTTTTAGAGTAGTTGTTCTAATGATTAGAAATTTACATAGATACTGGAACATTTCTTCGTAAATTGTAAATGATAAATTTCTTGAAAGAAAATGTTTCATAACGAAATATGAAAACCACTGTAATATGTAAATTAGTGGCTCGCAATTAATGATTCATCATCAGTAGAGTTTCGCGGATCACATTTTAATCATGTGACATAATAATAATATTTAATAATTAATAATGCTAAAATCGAGCCATACCAGCCAAATGAGACATGATTTTCTTTCCAGACAGATCAAAATAGCAGGAAACTAGTCATTAATTTGCTGACGAAAAATGACATCCTGTCAAATAATTGTTTTGTACTTAAGTTAAATTCCGTTGATCAATGATTGACAAAACGCACTTCTAGTTCCAGATTTTGTACTTAAGCTTAATTCCGTTAATTTGTTATCGAAAAAATCACTTCTAGTTCCACAGTATTTAAAACTTTAAAACCTCTCCCGGTTCTTTTGCGATAGTCAAAACGCGACAACTAGCGCTGGATGGCGACAACTAGCTGATGATTGTAGGTTTATAACCTACCAGTACCAGTACCAAGACGCACACAGAGCTGGAATTAAGGATTTGAAACAAATAATTTCAATTTTACGAGTATCACCCGTTAAGCTGACAGTACATGTGATATCGCAAATATATTGCGCTGGCTAGCGTCAGCTGACGATTAATAATAATATCGTAAATATACATATATATTTGATTTTGGAATTGGGTATATTTCGCTAGTCAGCACTAACCATACCAGCGCTAGCTATTGATTTATAATAGCTGTCCATTAATAATATTGCAAATATTTTATTTTGATACATTGCGCTGGCGCTGGTCAGCGCTAGCCAGCGCTAGCTGACCATTATATTAACTAGCAGGAACCCGTATAATATATGATATAACTCTAAACGGTGTCAAGACTCAAGAGACCAAAATAATTATTACCTATTTAATTCGCGTTTTTGACACCACTTGGGGGTCCAAATTTTGGGCTCTAAAATCACTAATTCTTGGCCAATTTTTTATTTTTTCATGCTGAATTGGAGGCCATTAAAGCATTTGACCCAGTCAAAAAAGTTTCAGATGTATATCTTTTACGGTTTTTGCGGAAATTCGCTTTAAAGTTGATGCCGTGGTGTCAGTAAAATGGCACAGATAAATATATATATATCGTCTCGCTTTATATATAGTAAGATATCACAAATATATAAATATTTGATTTTGGTATATTGCGCAGACGTAAGTCAGTATTTAAAGCACTTCACTGCTGAAAGTGGAAGAACGTTTGGATGCTGATGATGATCTCTATGCTACTAAGATTCTGAGCTTTATTCTCTTGCATAATAATATACGTTAGTCCAGCTTTAAGTTTAATCTAATCGAGGACCGGTCTCACAGACGCATAAAATCGTAGCATCCGACATAGAGATAGTTTTGCTCAATGCTCACCACTTGCACTGTCGATCAAAAGCTGTCCGGGGCACAAATACTCAAGGGTTATTTCCCAACCGCTCCCACTTCAAATGCACCTTCTCTCTTACGTGACTATAATCACGTGACTATAATATGATGATGGCACTCCTTGGTTGGGGGGTACTTCAAAGGAAAAAGTTGTGGTCTAATAGAGTCAACTACCGGGACCGGCCAACTTCTCTGGGGACCAATAGTTACCTTTTTGAGTTGCTCTTCCCCTTTGAGTTCTCTGGGATATAAACTCTTCGACTTTGCTGTCTCGTACTCAGTTGCATGTTGTGCTGAGTGACAACCTTTTTCTTTGTTGAAAAATTTGATTTTTGGCAACAAAATTTTATGAGAGTTATTTGATACGATTTAAGTTTGAAGTTTTATTTCGCTGAAACGCCATATTCTTAAATAGCTCGGTACCTGACACCATTCTCTAAATTCCTCTACACTATGGAACAGTCGGTACAAGCCTGGAGTGGGTTACGAAGCTGCCTCGCTCATCTTCTCGATCATTCCTTTGTGATATCAGCTGACGACTGAGGGATTAGTCGTCTTAGTATTGTCTTTCACAGGTCTTTTATTGAGTTGCATATCCAAATCGATCGGATGACATAAACATTTCTTCTTCTTATTTTCTTGGCACTTTCTCAAATGCAATATTTTGCACATC